ATTTCTCAATCCTGCCTTCCAGTTAAGAAAATATCCTTCACAGTTTTAAAAGTGTAATTAGACCTAAACTAGATCACATAAGATCAAGTGGAGAAATTCCCATTAACTTACACAAATACTTGATCAGCCCTCTTAAATACAAGCAAGCAAGGATACAAGAGTCCCTAACTATCTGTTGCAAGTTTTCATATATATTACTACACACTCTAAGAAACCACCATACCTTTTTTCTTTAGGTCTTACTATTGTAAGATTATTTCTTCGTGTACTGGTTAGCATACTTATGCCAGACCCCAAGTTTATAACTCAGAATTTGTGCCAAAGAACTGAAATTCCCAATTTTTTAAAAAATAATAAGCATTTTACTGTGCTTGAAGACAGAAGCAATTTACCATAAAGCCACTTGCCAAGTTAGCATATGATTTATCTATACTTACATCAATTAAAGAAAGCATTAGAGAATTTGTCGTCTCCAAGGAACGCCGTGGTTACGGAACAGTGCCTTCAGAAGATAAAAGCTATGGCATTACATGCACAGACTCCTCTCAATGAGAAGATTTCCCTTAAAAACAAACCTTTTTTGAATCAGTAAACAGATGAGTGATTGCTGGTCATCCTCTGCTGTGCTGGCACTCAAGAGAAAGGATGAGAAAGTGAAGAAAGAGCCTCTTCCTTCCCTCCTAGTCAGCAGAATGGGCTCCAGACAGTGTTAGGAAGGACAGCCAAGCCTATGTTGGCAGTCAAATTTCTATCAGTGCATGGCTGATGGAGGTGGGGGAGGCGTGCCTTGCCGTCCCGATTGTCTAGAAACTGCTAAGGTCTCGTTCTGTCCCTCTCGAGTAGAGTAACCACATTCATCATAAAACACACCTCTCTCTTCACCAAGAAAACTCTCCCTATGCCCTGCACATTCCCTTCCTGCATTGGGGTGATAAGTACTTAGCTTTAAATTTCTCAGGAGGGAAGAAGCTGAATGGTATGTAAGGAACAAAATCAGCTAGTAGGGGAAGAAATGTACAGCAACTAAGCTAATCTGTCTTAATATTAAGCAAACAAATGTGCTAAAATAAAGATGAAAGAAGAAAAATCAGTATAGACAAACCATGCATTGCTTTGTTTCATTAATTTTCCTGTCAGTCAATCTGTTTTACTGTAACACAAGCTTTAAAAAGACAGTAACACCTATCCTAGAAGATCTTAGAGCCAAGAAAAAAAAGTTTCCTATATTAGATTAAAACACTAATATGGAATAAATATTCATTGAAATATCCAGTTATGTACTTGCTATTTTTTGTTTGATCTTACCTTACAGAGAGTTCTGAGGAACACACAAGCTGAGTATTTAAAGAATAAGCACATCTAGAAAATCCTGCATTTTATACCTTCAGTCACATGGATGCTAACAAATTCAGTAAATTTGAAAATGACTCCAGAATCTAGTTGGTTCTTTCAGAATTCTTTTCAAATCAGTATATTTCCCTGTCCGAACTTTACTGGAACTCAGCCTTGGACTCACAACTATCACAGATATTAGCAACTTCCACAGACTCAACACTATCCAGCCAAAGTGACCAGACACTGTTTGAATAGTCACTTACAGAGAACACGCTGTTGTATTTACATTAGTACCTCACTTAAAGGTCTGAGTGTCCTTCCTCTAACATCTGCCAGATCTTCTGGCTTGGATCCAGGAGATGTAATAGCAGTGCCAGTAACACTTATGGGTGATACACCCTTTTTCCCAAAGAACCATTATCAATGATATTAAATATTTACACAGTAGTGACTACAAGCCCCAGGTTTAGCATTCTACTTCACTATCTAGTTGATAAATACTTCTTGGTAGGGAGTTCACAGCACTTTGAATGAAGAAAATAAGAACAAACAAAAGAAGAAAGGGCAAGTCCCAAGTAGTCATGCAATACACTTCGTCTCATCCTGCTCAAACCTCCTGACCACCACAGTACAGGATTATTCTAAAACGATGAGGTTTTTCAGGAAATACTGAACAGTTATGCTAGTTTTCAAGACTGAGTCATGAAGAGTTTGCTGAGGAGTTTGTCTCAGGACTATGCAAACGCTTTAAAGACAAGCATATGCCACGGACAGCGAGTCAGAGTGTGCTGCCAAGTTTGACTCTTATAATAATGTCATTTTTACTGCTTTGGAGATTTACAACTCAGAAACCTGCTGTGAGGACAATGCCAGCAGCTGTTCTTTGTGGGAACAGAATAACACCCACTGCCTGTTCGGGGTTTTTTTCCCCTAAAAACCCAACACAGTTATGATTCCAAAAATGCCACTATTATCACCCATAACAGCCTAGGAAGCGGGAAACTTGGCTTCAGTATCTTTGTCAGCACAAGGAATTTCAGTCTTATTGCTCTAGTTCCTGCAGAAATCAGGCTTAGACTACAGGAGACTTGAAAAGGCACTGCTCCAGCTTGTCCTGATAAAGCGGCACTTGGTGTTCAACAATGAAGATGAGGTTCACTAGGGAAAAATGTGTATCCAAGGGAAAGCTTGAGGCAGTGGCATAAGTGGGTATGGCACTCCAGTGCAGAGCCAGGTTCACAGCCTAGGAGACACCCTTACCAGACAGGTACAAGAAAGACTGTTGTTGGTGTGATCTTTTGCCGAATGATACAGTCCTAAACCCCTCAGCCATTCAAGAGCAGCCGAAAGCCTGTGACTTGGTGTGAGCAAGCCCTTGAAAGTCACTGGAGTGAAGAGAGCATTGAAGCTGCTCCTCCAGCTACATGTCATTGGCTGCCTCTTTCTCAGGTCTGATCCTAGCTGCTGCATTAGGGCATGCAGTAAAGTACACCTGCTCAGAGAGCTTCCCAGCATGCTCAGAGAAGATTCCTGGTTGAAACCATTTCTCTCACTTTAGCCTAAACTAAGCACTATGGCTACTGCAGAAACAGCAGACATCTACAGAGTCAAAGTTGACTGGACTTTTATTAGGTTAGTTTTGAATGCTCCAATTTCATCTAAATTGTGTGTTGAACTAAAACTAATATGCCAAATAAACCCCCATATAATCCTCTTAATCTGCAGTCACCAACTGATCATTGTTCCAGCCTGGAGTCAGATTTACAGGAGATTAGAGAGGAGAGGCTCCAAACTGGCTCAGAGACAAGAGGCAGTGTTAGGCACAGCAGCCCACAGTAGCCACAGAGCTGCCTGCAGGGAAGAGCATCACACAAAACCAGAGCCCAAGACCTCACCTTTCACATTGGGCTGGGGGGTTGTACCTGGTCACTCCCGTAGTGAATATGGGAGTCTCAGGCACTACACTCCTATAGTCACTGCAGGAGTAGCTGCAGATGGGAAAAATAGGCTGTGCACAGACTGTGCAAAAATGAGTCTTGAGAAATTTTCCTATTAACAAGACAAAATGTTGAAAGTGTTGAGACAGCAGGGTGACTATCAAAGGCTGCTAAAACCCTCATTGGTCAAGTTAAACTGAGCTTAGATGTATCCTGGAAGGCCACAAGCCATAGCTGAAAACAATATAGAAAGTATTTAACCCAGTGATTAATCTCTGATCACAAAAGAGCGTGCTGACATTCATGATGTCTCCTGTACCAGATCGGCTTCTTGGTGGAACTGCATGAATGCTTAATCCAGACACTAAAACTTTGGTGAAATAATGGAAGACATTTCATGGACTTTAATACTCACTCCAGTATATTTATGGTCCAGTCCTCTATCCTTATTGTCCACAGGGAATCTTTTACTATATGTATCTGAAACTTATGCTGAACCAGAACAAGCCACACTTAATCTTGGAGCATGGAACAAGGAGTAGAAGGTAAGTAATAACCCTAGAAGATAAGTAAAACCCCAAATTTGGTTTCAGTGTATAATATCTATGTTTTAAATAATTGAAGACTTGGCCTTTTAAATTAACTTGTTTGTTTTTTAAAAACTATTTAACCATGCATAAATGCTTACTTGAAATTGTAAAAAGCACAAGCTCTATTTAGTATTGCAACATTTCTGTAACAGATATATCCGCTCTTTTCATATTTGCATTGATTGTTGCTTTATTCTACTTATGAAGATTACCTGCACCTAAACCAGAGTTTAGTCTTGCATGAGAACTTCCTGTTCTAATACCCCTGTCTGATCCTACTAAATGCATGCTGATACAAGAGGTAGAACTACTAGACTAGATTATGTTAATAAATATGTTCCATTATGCATAATGTGATGAGCTAAGATTTTGTGGAATAAAAATATGCCTCTGGGATTTTATGGTAAATGCTAAGTTTCATTGAAGAATAAATTGTGGTTAATTATGTCTCAAAAGGATGGGACTTCTGGGGTTCTCATTGCTAATGCAAACAGCCACAGTGTCAGTTATTCAGCAGTACTAGCAACTAGAAAATTATCTAAAGGAAAAGACCCTTCTTGGAAGTTGTGCAAGTGCTGTAGGCAGGTCAAGGCACATAAGCATTTCATAACTTTAAGGTCTGTTATAAATAAAAAAGTTTACAGTTGCTTAGCAATGTTGGTTTTGTTTTTTTTGGTTTTTTTTTTTTTTTGACCCCAAAGCCATATCCTGAGTAATTTGAACAGAATAACAGATATAAAGTTGGACATACAAATGGAAGACTTGGAATCTGATCTCTGCCAAGACAACCGTAGTAGATACATTTGAAAAGAAAATATGCACACACCATAAATTAAACTATTACCTCATATACAAGACAAAAACATATCTATGGAGACATCTAAGTGATTTTAAGGAGGCAGTATTAATCAGTATGTAAGGAGTTTGATCATACAAGTTTTAAACATCACAAACCTATGCCAGCTTACAGTATTCATATACAGTTGAAAGAAAACAAAACAATCACCCATCTTTCCACTGCACATATACACTCTTAACTTGCTAGCTCATAATGCCCTATTTCAATATGCCAGTTTATAAAATACTTAAGTATATGGGTAAAAAGCACCTATTTTATTAGATATGGTATTCTACTTACTAGGTTCTTAATTCAGGCTGAAATTTATTCTTTAACACATTCTTCCAACAAGTCTTCAGTATTTCCTCTTCAGCACTGTCAACCCTCTTTTATACTGCTTGTACTAGGAATGATAGTCCATCCTTAATTCAGATAAACTGACTAATTAAGCAAAGCAGTTCAGCTGCATTCCCTCTGCTCAAGTGTTCCTGGAAGGGGAGGAACTCTTCACCCCACTCCTAAAGGAAGTTTCACACCTAGTGACTGTTGGGGAAAATAGACCAATTTCCTCAAGCATTTTTCTATGGATATTGCTCTTGAAAAAAAATTTTAAATACAACATGAATTATATTCGATTTATAGCAAATCCAACAGAAAAATTTGCCTTTTATTTAGTATTTTCGAAAGTTCTCTGATTTCAAACAAAGTAAAATTAGACAAAAATAAACATTAAAAAATTGGTTGGTTCTATAGACACATGATAGGCTAATCCTGAATTATTTCATAATACTTACCTCTTATATTTAAGCATTAGTCTATACTAGGGATTGAGATACTCTGAGATACAAATAAAGATCTTTAAACTCACACAGCCTCAAGAAATTCCCAGAATAGACTCTTGAAGAAAAATTATAGCTCTGAGATATTTTCAATAATTCACTAGTCTAATTCTTTAGTATTCTAAGAGATTTCTATATGAGTAAGCATTGGTCTTAAAATATGATTACAGGAGAAAGACTAATGGCACCCTAGTCTGTAAGTCAAGGGAAATGATAATGGACAACGACTTTGTGTTTGTGATGCTGCATCTGCAATACCCTGTCAAGCTCTGGGTCCCCCGGGACAAGAGAGAGATGTGCAGAGGGGTGGGAGCTCAGCTGAAGGCTATGAAGCTGCTCGGGAGGGTTGAGGCATCCAACATAAAAGTAGAGGCTGAGGGAGCTCCAGCCTTGTTCAGTATGGAGAAGAGGAGGCTTAGGGGTGAATTTAATTGCTGTATTCCACTTCCTGGGGGAGGGGGAGGTGAGAGAGGACATAGCCAAACTCTTCTCAGAGGCAATGATCACTGAGTACAGAAGGGGAAATTCTGATTTGGAATGTATGTATGAAAAGACAATATTCACAATGGTTGGTGGAGCACTGGAAGAGGTATCTGTAGAAGTGCTGGCTTCTGAGCAATCTGATTTAGCGTTGAAGGTAGCCACACATCACTAGCCCAGGAAGCTGGCCTAGGTGAAGTCCAGAGGTCCCTTCCAACCTAAAGTATTTTGTGATTGTATGACCAAAAAAATGTTAATAGACATAACTTTTCATTATTATACATAAATTATACAAATTCCCTTAAGGAAATAAATTTTACTGCTTAAAGTGCTAATTGACATATTTAAATTTATTTTAGGGCTTTTCCTGTATATAAAGACCACAAAAGCAGTCAAACTAATAAAACTAGTGAGGATACTGTCATACTGACAACTGTCTACTGTAGTTCCAGTCTAAATCAGTGGTTAGCATGAGAAAAATACATATAAAAATCCTAAATCTTTCTGATTATGTCTAGAAATGAAATCAATGTAACATGGATTCCATGACCTTAAGTAATGTTTTATTTCTGCTTCATTTTGTAGCCTGGCTGCACTGCAGATAAAGCCAGTTACTGGTACAGTCTGTAAATATGGCCTGTGATAAGGGTTTAGAGGTGGTCTGCGTGTTGGGGTTGGATAATACCTATGGATTGTTTTCATATTAAAGGTTATTTTGACTACATAAGCTGATGAGCCAGAGCAGTTCACAGGAAGAAAGTCGAGATATGTTCCCACCCTAATATTAACCTATTTCTGGTTTACCTTCTTATGATTATGTAGCTTGCTCAGCTAGACAGTTATTTGTCATTATTTCTTCTTTCCTTCTATTTGTGTTTTTACTCTTCTCTCTTTCTAGTCTAGCTACATTTAACACTACTTTCATATCCTCTTCTCCATTCTTCCCTGGAGTTGGGCACCAACACATCACACATGCTCGAGAAAAGCCCTAGTCCACTGACCTTTCTTATAGTGTTATCCAGCTGTGATGATCTTAAGGTTCTTTTCCAACCTAAATGTTTCTATGACAGACAAGAAGCTGAGATGATGGCCCTTTTGGCCACCCAGTGCCCTCTGGTCATGGCAAGACTACCAGCTCTCTAATTTTTCTTACTTGGTTCTTTACCTATCTCACCTTTCCTTCTGTCTTTGGTCCTCTTGGAGTCTTGTCCTGCCCATAGGTAGCTTTCTTGCCTTCAGAGATTCAGTCCCTTCTGATTTGCGGAGAAATCACTCTATAAGTTTTGGAGTTATAAAGTGGGTATGTTTATTCAGCGCTGGGCGTATGGGGGATCGCTCCACCACAAGCGTGCACATCGTTTGCAGCTCCTATCCGGCTTATATGTTACAAAATAGTGCATATTCATAAAATGCCTATACATATACATAGTCTACCCCCACCTCCCCTCACTTCTCATGGTAATCAGGTCTCCTCCACTTGCGCCTGTGTGATGAGCTCTCCAAGCTCCGGGCTGGGGTCACAATCTCCTGGGGAGGGGTCGTAAAGATGAAGTACCTCTTCTTCCTCACTGATGAACTTTTCACCCTGTTGCTCTGCGCAGCCTCAGTCGTTCTCTGGCTTTCTTCCAGGCCAGTTTATACTAGTGTTTTGGATAGTCTGTTCTTCAAGGACTAGGGGGGACTTCTCTTTGGGCTAGGAGATAATCACCTAGCAACGTTATCAGTACTTGGTATGTCTTTTTCAAACAGTCCCATAGGCCTCCCCTTGTTTTTGCGCAGGCCTTGCACCATCAATCTAAGATTGTTTAGACTCCCCGTCTCACCTTCTATTGCCATCCTCGATGTGCTGGCATGCAAATGATTATTTCTACTCTGTACTGCAGAGCAGCTTAGTCCCTGGTGTCTCATCTACATCCCAGCACCATGCTTTTCAGCCAGCAGCTTGCCAGCAGGAATATTTTATGTATAACAGTGTAGAATTGAGGGAAGATTTCTCCCTCTGATAGAAATGAACCTATGGTGGATCTTCATGTACCGTTTAAATTCAAAAAAATCTTTAGGTTGAGAGATTATACATATATTAGACACTTAATTTACACATCATATAAGTACATGAATAATTTTACCTTTATCATCAACTCTTATTTAGAGATGAGGAAACTGAGGCATAGAAACTGTAAAGTCCATAATTCTGATATTCGCTATCATGCCATACTACATAAAGACCTAACTGGACAGAGGTTTTAAGGCTATGAGCACTTGTTCAACCCTGACCTTTCCTGTCCAACTAGCTTAAAGTGTCTCTTCTGGGCACATAAAACATATTTAAGTCCAAAATCAAAATCAGAGTGTCTCAAATAAATAAACGTAAAATGAAATATGTGAAAAAAAGCAAAGTGAAACACAAAGATGGAAATATGACTCTCAGATGAAGAAATAACTTACTCCTCAAATTGGAAGTACAGGCCAGAATAAACCTCTACTATTTATTAAAGACCACCCTGACATCTCTCTTGGGAAGAGAGTCACCTGGCACTGTAGCAGCACAGCATAAGTTCTTAAGACGTCATTGAATAAACAACACTGGTTCTGAATCCACATCTGGGATCCTTTCAAATCTTGCTCCTCAGGTTTGTGTATATTGGATTCGTCCTGGTTCATCTGAAAATGATAGCTTGGGAGGTTCACTTGAAGGCTTGAAGCCTTGGTGTCTGCACAAACCAGGGCTTCTAGAGAAATCTTTGGCCTTCTTTCGCAGGCTCTTGTGAACCTACTTTATTTTGCCTTAGTGCTGTCAGTGCCCATATGCTGATTTCTTCCTTTGTTTTCCTCTCAGAAATGGGTATGTCTAATTCATGAAGGGCTGTTTTCTGTGCCAGAGAGAGATCTCTCAGGGTACCGTCCCTTCTCACAGAGCACGCAGAGTTACGTCTGATTTTTCCCTTAAGGATAGAGGAGAAGGAAAACTGTGGAAGATGATGACAGGAAACATCTGCTAGACTCCAACCCCTTCACTTCTGTCTTCAGGCTATGCAGGCTGCTTCCAGCTCTGAGCAAATCATGGTAGTCTTTCCATTTATTTCAGCTTTCTGCTCATATATGGAGTTTGTTCATTCTTTAAATGCACTTCTCATCCATACAGCCCAGGTGGCCTATTTTTTCTACTTAACAGCCATAATTGAGAGGTGATGATTTCCTTTGGTTTATCTGTAAATGTGACTCACTGGAAATTAGGGCACTTTGTAAGCACATCGGTTATGGTGTTCACTTCCTACTGGAACCTGGACTGATTAGTCAGACTTGGCATTTGTAAAGACATAAGGAAACATGTTTAACTGTTCTTAATGGTTGGTAATTGTACTGTGGATAATTGCACATCAATCTCAGATTTCCCTGAGAAAATATAAGCACAAGTTAATGTGGCTGTCAGGTTGGGAATACCTGCGGTTCCTTAAAATCCGTATGTTATTTCTATGGGCTGGCTGAGCTACTTGCTTGGCTGAACTCAGAACTGGCAGTATTAGTAGTGTACTCACTCGCTTTAGTGTCCAAAATGCATGGAAGGACAAGGACCCGAGGGAACCCACTCTGTACCTTTTCCCTTGACTAGAGGATAAACATGAGGATTTGGAAGAAATTGCTCATACTGAAGAGCCACTGATGTGCAAGAGTAAGGAATGACCACCCTCTCCCTCACTTCACCTGTACCTTATGATTGCACAGTAAAATACTCAGCTAGTCAGACTAGAAGTTAATGTTGAATGTACCACTTACATTCTTGGGGGGTCTTTTTGTGTATGTACTATGGTATAGTCTTTATAAAATCATATACTCTATTACAGTTCTACAAAACAGAGACTCAGTGTCCCACCAGCCTTGAGCTTGTATCAGTGGTCTTAATATGGCTTAATTCATCATGCCTTATGAATCCCTATTCTTTTCAACCTGCTACATTTCGTGAATGACAAATTTGAAAATAACAATACCTGTACATATATATCGAGTCATATTTCCCATAGACTTTCAAACATATTTCAAAATTAAATTCTTGAACACCAGTTTTT